TTCCCATTCCCCATTCCCATTTATCCCATTCCCCCACCCCCATTATCCCATTTCTCCCATTTCCCATTCCCCATTTCCCCATCCCCATTTCCCCATTCCCATTCTCATTCCCACTGCCCCATCCCCATTCCCATTTCCCCATTCCCCCACTATCCCATTCCCCCACTATCCCCATTTCTCCCATTCCCATTTCTCCCATTCCCCATTCCCATTATCCCATTCCCATTGCCGCATTCCCATTTCTCCCATTCCCCCATCCCCATTATCCCATTTCTCCCATTCCCATTCCCCCACTATCCCCATTACCCCATTCCCACTGCTCATTCCCATCCCCATTTCTCCCATTCCCACTGCCCCATCCCCATTTCCCATTCCCATTTCTCCCATTCCCCATTCCCATTTCCCCATTCCCATTCCCCATTCCCATTTCCCCATTCCCACTGCCCCATTCCCATTCCCATTTCTCCCATCCCCATTTCCCCATTCCCATTCCCCATTCCCATTTCTCCCATTCCCATTTCTCCCATTCCCCATTCCCATAGACTATTTTAAAGCATGTTTTATATAATAAATACATTGCAAAAGAAAAATGAATACTTTTTTGTGTACTATTATTTGGTATTTATTATTTAGCTATTTTATCACACATGAACATTTCACAGTTGCACCTGTGGATGGTATATAGTTACTGTAGTGACAGAAGTACTAAAATACCTTTAAATACCTCCATGGAGACATCTTTTTCCACCTCTTTGGTACAGCTGTATTTATAGCAATAGCAGTTGCCAGTTTTTCAAGACCAGTTACTTTGACTTATGATATTTTCCATATTCCATGAAATGTCCCTTATTAAATATGCTTTACTGTGACATTTTTCCTCTTCCAAATTTATTAGTGTACAATATATGGATAACAGAGTATAAATATCTTATTCTTAAAACGAATAAAATCCTGCTCTTGGAAAACAATAATCCTACGAATTAAAAGGTAAAAGGCATCAATGGTAAGTGTGGACATAACCTCCTCCCCGCTCACAAAGTTTTGGTAGTGACAGACTGAAGAAGCCAGGTGCACGAAGGAAAATAACTTTTCTTTATAAAAAGCTGACACTATAAAAGCTGTTTATATTTCTGAGAAGAAAGCTGGAATGAGTTTGAGAGCCTGCACAAACCTGCAGCACAGCTGCTAGCAAACAACAACCAACCAACAAAACACTAAACCACCATCAAATACCAATCCCCCACTATCCCCATTCCCCCATTTCCCATTTCTCCCATTCCCCGTTCCCATTCCCCCATTCCCCCATCCCCATCTCCCCATTATCCCACCCCCCCCCAATCCCCGGGATCCCTCTCCCGGCATTCCCGCAGAGGCTGGCCTGGGAGCAGCAGGATCCGTCGGAGCGGCGCCTGAGCTTCCTCCCGCGGCGATTCCCGAGCCTGCGCGCCGTTCCCGCCTACTCCCGCTTCATCCACGAGCGCTTCGAGCGCTGCCTCGACCTCTACCTCTGCCCCCGACAGCGCAAGATGAGGGTGGGCATCCCAAACCCCCCCCCCAAAAAAAAAACCGGGAATGCCGGCCTGGCGGTTCCCGGGAAGCTCCGGAGGGTCGGGGGCGGCTGGGATTGCTGTGGTGTCCGTCCCGCAGGTCAACGTGGATCCCGAGGATCTCATTCCCAAACTTCCCAGGCCGAGGGATCTGCAGCCCTTCCCGACCACACAGGCACTGGTGAGGGGTTTGTTGGGAATGTTCCCCCTGGAATTTGGTGGAATCCTGGGATTTGGGGCCCTGGGAAGCGGGGAAGGGACCGAGGTTGAGGATTCCTGGGAGAAGCTGGGAAAAGAGGCCGATCCCAGCTGGAATTCCTGTGGCTCTGGGAAATGTTCCCAGGATCCATGGAAAATGGGGCTGGGGAGAATCCCCCTTTCCTGGGATTTTTGGGAATGGCTCCAGAGAACTTCCTGGGAGCAGCTGAGGGAGCTGGGGAGGTAAATCCCGGAGAAAAGCGGGATTGAAGGGATCCAGGACGGGATCTGCTCCCAGGGAATGGGACAGGACCCTGGGAACGGCCTCGGGTTGGGATTTTTGGGAATGTTTCCCCTGGAATTTGGTGGAATTTCTGGGATTTGAGGCCCTGGGAAGCGGGGAAGGGACCGAGGTTGAGGATTCCTGGGAGAAGCTGGGAAAAGAGGCCGATCCCAGCTGGAATTCTTGTGGCTCTGGGAAATGTTCCCAGGATCCCTGGAAAATGGGGCTGGGGAAGATCCCCCTTTCCTGGGATTTTTGGGAATGGCTCCGGAAAACTTCCTGGGAGCAGCTGAGGGAGCTGGGGAGGTTAATCCCGGAGAAAAGCGGGATTGAAGGGATCCAGGGTGGGATCTTCTCCCAGGGAATGGGACAGGACCCTGGGAACAGCCTCGGGTTGGGATTTTTCGGAATATTCCCCTGGAATTCTGGGCTGGAATCCCCATTCCCAGGATTTGTCATCCCTGTGGATGTGGGATGTGCTCCCTCCAGATCCCAAATTCCTCCTCCCTTCCCAAAATCCCAAATTCCTCCTCCCTTCCCGAGGATTCCGGAGCAGCTCCCGGAGGTTCCCAGGGAGCTCCTGGGGTTTGGGATTCTCCCTCATTCCCGTTTTTTTCCCAGATTTACCGTGGCCATTCCAACCTGGTGCGGACCCTGAGCGTCTCCCCCAGCGGGCAGTGGTTGGTGTCAGGTACGGATCCACCCCTGGATTGGGAATTCCCGGGATAAATCCCGTGGATCCACAGCCCAGCTCCACCCGGAGCTGCTCCGGGGCCAGCTTTGGGATCGGGGATTTTCCCCCTGGAAAATCCCAGCCTCGGCTCCGGGGGAGGATCCTGGGATTGGCCCCATCCTGCGGCGCCTCTGGAAAATTCTGGAGCTTTTCCAGCTGCTCTGGGGGCCCAATCCCATTCTCTTATCCCATTCTCAATCCCATTATCCCAATCCCATTATCCCAATATCCCATTCCTAATCTCAATCCTGATCCCATTCCAGTTATCCCATTCTCATTATCCAAATCCCATTCCCATTCTCCCAATATCCCATGCTCCCAATACCCCATTCCTAATCTCAATCTTAATCCCATTCCCATTATCCCATTATCCCATTATCCCATTATCCCATTATCCCATTCCTATTCCCAATCCCATCCCCATTCCCATTTCCATCCCATTATCCCTTTCCCATCCCCTTTACCATTTCCATTCCCATTATCCCATCCCCATTATCCCATCCTGATCCCATTCCCATTATCCCTTCCCCATTATCCTATCCGATTCCCTTTATCCCATTCCCATCATCCCATTCCCGTCCCCATTATCCCATTCCCATTATCCCATCTGCATTCCCTTTATCCCATTCCCATTATCCCATCCCCTTTATCCCATCCCCTTTATCACATCCCCATTATCCCATCCCCATTCCCATTATCCCATCCCCATTCCCTTTATCCCATCCCCATTATCCCATCCCCGGTATCCCATCCCCATTCCCATTATCCCATCCCCATTCCCTTTATCCCATCCCCATTATCCCATCCCCGGTATCCCATCCCCATTCCCATTATCCCATCCCCATTCCCTTTATCCCATCCCCATTATCCCATCCCCATCCCCATTATCCCATCCTGTTTATCCCATCCCCATTATGCCATCCCCATTCCCATTATCCCATTCCCATTATCCCATTCCCATTATCCCATTTCATTACCCCATTCCCATTCACCCCATCCCCATTATCCCATCCCCATTATCCCATCCTGTTTATCCCATCCCTATTCCCATTATCCCTTCCCCATTATCCCATCCTGTTTATCCCATCCCTATTCCCATTATCCCTTCCCCATTATCCCATCCTGTTTATCCCATCCCTATTCCCATTATCCCTTCCCCATTATCCCATCCTGTTTATCCCATCCCTATTCCCATTATCCCTTCCCCATTATCCCATCCCTATTCCCATTATCCCTTTTCATTACCCCATTCCCATTTCCATTTTCCTATCCCGTTCCCCATCCCTATTATCCCATCCCCATCCCCTTTATCTCATTCCCATTATCCCATCCCCATTATCCCATCCCCATCATCCCACTGTTATCCCATTATCCCGCAGGCTCCGACGACGGCACGGTGCGTTTCTGGGAGGTGAGCACGGCGCGCTGCCTGCGCACGCTTCCCGTCGGATCCGTGGTCAAGAGCGTGGCCTGGAACCCCAACCCCTCCATCTGCCTGGTGGCCGTGGCCGTGTGAGTTCCCAGATCATTCCCAGATTTCCCCGGGATCATTCCCTGGGATCATTACCTGGGATCATTCCCAGATCTCCCTGGGATCATTCCCACATCTCCCTGGGATCATTCCCAGATTTCCCTGGAACCCCAGCCCCCCTTTATCCCATCCCCATTATCCCATCCCCATTCCCATTATCCCATTTCCATTATCACATTCCATCACCCCATTCCCATTTCCATTTTCCTACCCCTTTCCCCATCCCCATTCCCTTTATCCCATCCCCATTATCCCATTCCCTTTATCCCATTCCCACTATCCCATCCCCTTTATCCCATCCCCGTTATCCCATCCCCATTCCCATTATCCCATTATCCCATTCCATTACCCCATTCCCATTTCCATTTTCCTACCCCTTTCCCCATCCCTCCCCACTTTATCCCATCCCCATTATCCCATTCCCTTTATCCCATTCCCACTATCCCATCCCCTTTATCCCATCCCCGTTATCCCATCCCCATTCCCATTATCCCATTATCCCATTCCATTACCCCATTCCCATTTCCATTTTCCTATCCCTTTCCCCATCCCCATTCCCATTAACCCATCCCCATTACCCCATCCCCTTTATCCCATTATCCCATTCCCATTATCCCATTCCATTACCCCATTCCCATTATCCCATCCCATCCCCATCATCCCACTGTTATCCCATTATCCCGCAGGCTCCGACGACGGCACGGTGCGTTTCTGGGAGGTGAGCACGGCGCGCTGCCTGCGCACGCTTCCCGTCGGATCCGTGGTCAAGAGCGTGGCCTGGAACCCCAACCCCTCCATCTGCCTGGTGGCCGTGGCCGTGTGAGTTCCCAGATCATTCCCAGATTTCCCCGGGATCATTCCCTGGGATCATTACCTGGGATCATTCCCAGATCTCCCTGGGATCATTCCCACATCTCCCTGGGATCATTCCCAGATTTCCCTGGAACCCCAATCCCTCCATCTGCCTGGTGGCCGTGGCCGTGTGAGTCCCCGGATCATTCCCATATTTCCCTGGGATCATTCCCAGATCTCCCTGGGATCATTCCCAGATTTCCCTAGGATCATTCCCTGGGATCATTCCCAGATCTCCCTGGGATCATTCCCAGATTTCCCTGGGATCATTCCCAGGGATCATTCCCAGATTTCCCTGGAACCCCAACCCCTCCGTCTCCCTGGTGGCCGTGGTCGTGTGAGTCCCCGGGATCATTCCCAGATTTCCCTGGGATCATTCCCTGGGATCATTCCCAGATCTCCCTGGGATCATTCCCTGGGATCATTCCCAGATTTCCCTGGGATCATTCCCAGATTTCCCTGGAATCCCAGCCCCACCATCTGCCTGGTGGCCGTGAGTCCCCTGGGATCATTCCCCAAGGATCCTTCCCAGGGATCATTCCCCAGGGATCATTCCCAGGGATCCTTCCCCAGGGATCATTCCTTGGGATCATTCCCGGAGATGATTCCTGGTTTTCCTCTGGAGATCCCAGATCCCCTGCCAGAGTTCATTCTGCGCCTGGGGTTTGGAGCATCCCAATCCCAATCCTAATTCTGATCCTGGCCACCTTGGAATGGCCAAATCCATCCCTGGCCTTTTCCCCCCTCATTTCCTCCCCATTCCCTTTGCATTTTCTCTTATTCCCTCTCTATTCCCTCCTCATTCCCTGCTTTTTCCCACCCTATGCCCTCCTCATTCCCTCTTTATTTATTATTCCCTGCATTTTTCCTCCTTGTTCCCTCCCAATTACCTTCTTATTCCCTCCTTCTTCCCGCCCTAATTCCCTCCCAAAATTCCATGTTTCCCCTCTCTATTCCCTCCTCATTCCATCCTTTTTCCCACCCTGATTCTCTCTTTATTCCATCCTAACTCCTTCCTTTTCCCCACTGTTATTCCCTTCCTAATCCCTTCCCTATTCCCTCCTTATCCCTCCTCATTCCCTTCCTATTTTTCCCTTATTCCCTCTTTATTCCCTCTCCACTCCCTCCTTCATCCCACACAATTCCCTCTTTATTCTCTTGTAATTCCCTCCTTTTCCCCACCCTTATTCCCTCCTTGTTCCCTCATTATTCCCATCTTATTCCCTGCTTCTTCCTCCTCATTCCCTCTGTATTCCCTCCCAAATTTCCTGCTTTTCCCAACCCTAATTGCTTCCCTATTCCCTCCCATTATTCCGTTTTTTCCATCTCTATCCCATCCTCCTTCCCTCCTTTTTTCCCACCTTATTCCCTCCTCTTTCCCTCTTTATTCCCACCTTATTCCCTGCGTTTTTCCTCCTCGTTCCATCCCTCTTCCTTCCTAATTCCCTTCCTTTTCCCTCCTTATTCCCTCCTGATATTCCTGCCCTGTTCCCTCCTTATCCCTCGTTATTCCCTCCCTGTGGAATGTCCTGGCACCTGGCAGATCCCACAAATCCCTCCCCAGTTCCAGATCCCAATCCCATCCCACCCGATGAGGGGCTCAGGAAGGGCTCCCTTGTTCCCAGATTACCTCTGATCCCAATCCCCAGGGATGAGCAGCTGCTCCTGGGGGGAATTCCCTGATCCCAGAGGATCCCCTGATCCCAGAGGATCCCCTGTTCCCGGATTCCCCCTGATCCCGGGTTTCCCGTTCCCCAGGGATGAGCAGCTGCTCCTGCGGGGAATTCCCTGATCCCAGAGGATCCCCTGATCCCGGGTTTCCCATTCCCCAGGGATGAGCAGCTGCTCCTGGGGGGAATTCCCTGATCCCAGAGGATCCCCTGATCCTGGATTCCCACTGATCCCAGGTTTCTCATTCCCTAGGGATGAGCAGCTGCTCCTGGGGGGAATTCCCTGATCCCAGAGGATCCCCTGATCCGGGATTCCCACTGATCCCAGGTTTCTCATTCCCTAGGAATGAGCAGCTGCTCCTGGGGGGAATTCCCTGATCCCAGAGGATCCCCTGATCCCGGGTATCCCATTCCCCAGGGATGAGCAGCTGCTCCTGGGGAGGATCCCCTGATCCCATAGGATTCCCTGATCCCAGATTTCCCATTTCCCAGGGATGAGCAGCTGCTCCTGGGGTGGTTTCTCTGATCCCACATTTCCTGTGATCCCAGGGAGTTCCCTGATCCCAGAGGATCCCCTGATCCCGGATTCCCCCTGATTCCTTATTTCCCGTTCCCCAGGGAAGGGCAGCTGCTCCTGGGGGGAATTCCCTGATCCCGGATTCCCGCTGATCCCGGGTTTCCTGTTCCCCACCGATGAGCAGCTGCTCCTGGGGAGGATCCCCTGATCCCAGAGGATCCCCTGATCCCAGATTTCCCCTGATCCCGGGTTTCCCGTTCCCCAGGGATGAGCAGCTGCTCCTGGGGGGAATTCCCTGATCCCAAAGGATCCCCTGATCCCAGATTCCCCTGATCCCGGGTTTCCCGTTCCCCAGGGATGAGCAGCTGCTCCTGGGGGAAATTCCCTGATCCCAGAGGATCCCCTGATCCCAGAGGATCCCCTGATCCCAGATTTCCCCTGATCCCGGGTTTCCCGTTCCCCAGGGATGAGCAGGTGCTCCTGGTGAATCCGGGCCTCGGGGACTGGCTGCTGGTGGCAGCCACGGATCAGCTCCTGGATTCCTGGGAAGCTCCGGAGGAGGAGCGGGTCCAGCCGGTGCGGTGGATCCCGGCCAGCCCCGAGGAGCGCGGGAAGGGGATCCGGCTGCTGGTGCAGCACGGCAAGGTGGGATCGGCATTCCCGGGATCCGGGTGGGGTCGGCATTCCTGGGATCCGGGTGGGATCGGATATTCCCAGGATCTGGCTGGGCTCAGCATTCCCAGGATCCATCTGAGGTCGATATTCCCAGGATCTGGCTGGGCTCAGCATTCCCGGGATCCGTCTGAGGTCGATATTCCCAGGATCTGGCTGGGCTCAGCATTCCCGGGATCTGGGGTTTGTGGATCGATCCCTGCCCAGGATCTTGGGCTCATTCCCACATCCGCATCCCGAGGGACACAATTCCAAGAGGATCCTTGTTCCCTGCTCCACATCCCGAGGGACGGATCCCAAATGGATCCTGACTCTCTCTCCACATCCCAAGGGATCCCTTTCCATTCCCAGGAATCTCGGGAAGTGCCGGAGCCTTTCCCCAGCCCCGTTTTCCAGGGATCCCTGGGAACGTTTCCCGGAGCCACAGGAATTCCAGCTGGGATCGGCCCCTTTTCCCAGCTTCTCCCGGGAATCCTCGTCCTCAGTCCCTGGCCTGCTTCCCAGGGCCTCAAATCCTGGAATTCCAGCCCTTTCCAGTGGAATATTCCCAAAAATCCCAACCCAAGGCTGTTCCCAGGGTCCTGTCCCATTCCCTGGGAGCAGATCCCGCCCTGGATCCCCCTGGATCCCTTCAATCCCGCTTTTCTCTGGGATGAGCCCCAACAGCTCCCTCAGCCATTCCTGGGAATTCCCCCATTCCCAATCCCAATCCATTCCCGTTCCCATTCCCATCCCTGGACCCACCAACCAAACTCTCACCCTCTCCCCTTCCCTGATCCTGCTGTTCCCACCGTGGGAGCTCCAGGACAATCCAGAAATTTGGGATCTCAGGATCTCACCTGGATCCTGTTCCTGTTCTCATTTCCAGTTTGTTCCCATTCCCATTCCCACCCCAAGGAGCTCTGGGATGATCCAGAAGATCAGGATCTCACTCAGATCCCATTCCCGTTCTCATCCCGAGGAGCTCCAGGACGATCCAGAAATTCAGGATCTCACTCGGATCCCATTCCCATTCCCATTCTCATCCCGAGGAGCTCCAGGAGGATCCAGAAAGTCGGGATCTCGGGATCTCACCCGGATCCCGTTCCTGTTCTCATTCCCAATCTCATTCCCATTCCCACCCCAAGGAGCTCTGGGATGATCCAGAAGATCAGGATCTCACTCAGATCCCATTCCCGTTCTCATCCCGAGGAGCTCCAGGACGATCCAGAAATTCAGGATCTCGGTATCTCACCTGGATCCTGTTCCTGTTCTCATTCCCAGTCTGTTCCCATTCCCAGACTGAGGAGCTCCAGGATGATCCAGAAGATCAGGATCTCACCCAGATCCCATTCCTGTTCCCATTCCCAGACTGAGGACCTCCAGAATGATCCAGAAGATCGGGATCTCAGGATCTCACCCGGGATCTCACTTTACTATTCTCATCCCCATCCCATTCCCATTCCCAATCCCAATCCCATTCCTTTCCCAGCCGGTGACGCAGGTGACGTGGCACGGCAAGGGCGATTCCTGTGCCCCGGTGGTGATCCAGTGGGTTGGGATTTCGGGATCTCTCCCAGATCCCATTCCCAATCCCATTCCCAATCCCATTCCTTTCCCAGCCGGTGACGCAGGTGACGTGGCACGGCAAGGGCGATTCCTGTGCCCCGGTGGTGATCCAGTGTGTCGGGATTTTGGGATCTCACCCGGATCCCAATCCCACGCCACCTCGAGCAGCTCTCTGGGATGAGCCAGAGGATCGGAATTTCGGGATCTCACCCAGATCCCATTCCCAATCCCATTCCCAATCCCATTCCCATCCCCAGCCGGTGACGCAGGTGACGTGGCACGGCAAGGGCGATTCCTGTGCCTTGGTGGTGATCCAGAGGGTCGGGATTTTGGGATCTCACGTGGATCCCATTCCCAATCCCAATCCCAATCCCATTCCCAATCCCCAGCTGGTGACGCAGGTGACGTGGCACGGCCAGGGCGATTCCTGGGCCTCGGTGGTGATCCAGAGGATCGGAATTTTGGGATCTCTCCCAGATCCCATTCCCAATCCCATTCCCATCCCCAGCCGGTGACGCAGGTGACGTGGCACGGCCAGGGCGATTCCTGGGCCTCGGTGGTGATCCAGAGGATCGGAATTTTGGGATCTCTCCCAGATCCCATTCCCAATCCCATTCCCATCCCCAGCCGGTGACGCAGGTGACGTGGCACGGCCAGGGCGATTCCTGGGCCTCGGTGGTGATCCAGAGGATCGGAATTTTGGGATCTCTCCCAGATCCCATTCCCAATCCCAATCCCATTCCATCCCCAGGCGGTGACACAGGTGACGTGGCACGGCCAGGACGATTCCTGTGCTCCAGTGGTGATCCAGAGGGTCGGAATTTTGGGATCTCCCCCGGATTCCATTCCCAATCCCAATCCCATTCCCATTCCATCCCCAGCTGGTGACGCAGGTGACGTGGCACGGCCAGGGCTATTACTGGCCCTCAGTGGTGATCCAGAGGGTCGGGATTTTGGGATCTCACCCAAATCCCAATCCCATTCCCACCTTGAGCAGCTCTGGGATGATCCAGAGGATCGGAATTTTGGGATCTCTCCCAGATCCCATTCCCAATCCCATTCCCAATCCCATTCCATCCCCAGCTGGTGACGCAGGTGACGTGGCACGGCAAGGGCGATTACTGGGCCTCGGTGGTGCGGAACCCCGGCAGCCGGCAGGTGCTGATCCACCAGAGCAGCCGGCGCTGGAGCCAGGATCCCTTCCGGAAGAGCCCGGGAATGATCCAGTGCGTGCAGTTCCACCCGCTCCGGCCCTACTTCCTGGTGGCTTCCCAACGATCCGTGCGCGTCTACAACCTGCTCCGCCAGGAGCTCACCAAGAAACTCCAGAGCAACTGCCAGTGGATCTCCAGCATGGCCGTGCACCCCGGAGGTGCGGGATCTGCCCGGGAATGCCGGGAATGCCGGGGGGGAACGCCGGGGATCCCGCTGACTCCGGGGTTTTTCCCTAGGGGACAACGTGATCTGCGGGAGCTACGACAGCAAGGTGGCCTGGTTTGACCTGGACCTGTCCACGCGGCCCTACCGGCTGCTGCGGTGAGTGCCGGCATTCCCGCGGCGTGCCGGGATCCGCCGGGATCTGCTGGGGTTGTCCCGGGAGCATTCCCGGTGTCCCGGCTCTCCCTGGTAGCCACAAATCCCAGCTTGTCCCAGGTTTTTGTGGGGGTGGGAGCCCTGGGTTCCCTCATTATTCCAGGTTGTTATCCCAGTTTTTCCTGGGCTGTTATCCCAGATTATCCCAGGCTATTCTCCCCCTTGTCCTGGGTTGTTATCCCTCATTAATCCTCATCACTCCACATTATCCCGGGTTGTTATCCCAGCTTTTCCTGGCCTGTTGTCCAAGATTATCCCAGGCTATTATCCTGTTATCCCGGGTTGTTATCCCAGCTTTTCCTGGCCTGTTGTCCAAGATTATCCCAGGCTATTATCCTGTTATCCCGGGTTGTTATCCCAGCTTTTCCTGGCCTGTTGTCCAAGATTATCCCAGGCTATTATCCTGTTATCCCGGGTTGTTATCCCACATTTTCTTGGGCTGTTATCCCAAATAATCCTGGATTCTTATCCCATTTTATCCCGGGTTGTTATCCCAAATTGTCCTGGGTTGTTATCCCAGATTATCCCAGGTTATTATCCCAAATTATCCTGGGTTGTTATCCCATGTTATCCCAGTTTTTCCTGGGCTGTTATCCCAGATTATCCCAGGCTATTCTCCCGTTATTCTCGGTTGTTATCCCAGGTTTTCTGGGGCTGTTATCCTAAATTGTCCTGGTTTCTTATCCCATGTTATCCTGTGTTCTTACCCACATTGTCCTGGGCTGTTATCCCAAATTATCCCAGGCTATTCTCCCGTTATCCTGGGTTGTTATCCCAGTTTTTCCTGGGCTGTTGTCCAAGATTATCCCAGGCTATTCTCCCGTTATCCTGGGTTGTTATCCCAGTTTTTCCAGGGCTGTTATCCCAAATAATCCTGGATTCTTATCCCATGTTATCCCGGGTTGTTACCCACATTTTCCTGGGCTGTTATCCAAGATTATCCCAGGCTATTCTCCCGTTATCCTCGGTTGTTATCCCAGTTTTTCCGGGGCTGTTATCCCAAATAATCCTGGATTCTTATCCCATTTTATCCCGGGTTGTTACCCACATTGTCCTGGGCTGTTATCCAAGATTATCCCAGGTTATTATCCCAAATTATCCTGGGTTGTTATCCCATGTTATCCCAGGTTGTTATCCCAGCTTTTCCAGGCTATTATCCCGTTATCTCGGGTTGTTATCCCACATTTTCTTGGGTTGTTATCCCAGATTATCCCAGGTTATTATCCCACATTATCCGGGGTTGTTATCCCAGATTATCCTGGGTTGTTATCCCCTGTTATCCCAGGTTGTTATCCCAGCTTTTCCTGGGCTGTTGTCCAAGATTATCCCAGGCTATTATCCTGTTATCCCGGGTTGTTATACCACATTTTCTTGGGTTGTTATCCCATGTTATTCCAGGATGTCATCCCAAATTATCCTGGGTTGTTTTCCCGTGTTATCCCAGGTTGTCATCCCAAATTATCCCCGGTTGTTATCCCAGTTTTTCCTGGGTTGTTATCCCGTGTTTTCTTGGGTTTTATCCCAGGTTTTCTTGGGCTGTTACCCAATTTATCCCAGATTTTTATCCCACATTATCCCAGGCTGTTATCCCACATTTTCCCAGGTTATTATCCCAAATTATCCCGGATTGTTATCCTTTGTTATCCCGCATTATCCGGGGTTCTTATCCTGTTTTTTCCTGGGTTGTTATCCCAGGTTATCCCGTGTCATTATCCCAGTTTTTCCCTCGTTATCCTGGGTCGTTATCCTGGTTTTTCCCGGGCTGTTATCCCGGTTTTACCCGGGCTGTTATCCCAGATTATCCCAGGTTTTCCCTTGTTATCCGTTATAGGTTGTTATCCCACATTTTCCCTCGTTATCCTGGGTCATTATCCTGGTTTTTCCCGGGCTGTTATCCCGGTTTTACCCGGGCTGTTATCCCAGATTATCCCAGGTTTTCCCTCGTTATCCGTTATCGTTATCCCACATTATCCTGGGCTGTTCTCCTCTGTTTTCCTGGTGATTATCCCGGTTTTTCCCGGTGATTATCCCAATTTTCCCAGGATGTTATCCCAGTTTTTTCCTGGGTGGCTATCCCAGTTTACTCAGGATGTTATCCTGATTTTTCCCAATGGTTATCCTGATTTTTCCCAGGTGTTTATCCTGGTTTTTCCCAGGCAGTTATCCCAGTTTTTTCCAGCGGTTATCCTGGTTTTTCCCGGTGCTGATTCCTTTTTTTCTGGGTGCTGATTCCCACTTTTCCCACTGCCGATTCCCGCTTTTCCTGCTGTTTTTCCAGGCTCTAATTCCCATTTTCCTGGGCTCTAATTCCTATTTTTTCCCAGTGCTAATTCCCATTTTCCCGGGCTCTGATTCCTGTTTTTTCCCGGTGCTGATTCCCGTTATTCCCAGTGATAATTCCCGTTTTTTCCCGGTGTCTATCCCGTTTTTCCCAGCACTGATTCCCAGTTTTCCCAGTGGTTTTCCCGGTGTCTCTCCCGGTGTTTTCCCGGCTGTGATTCCTGTTTTTCCCAGTGTTTTTCCCAGTGTTTTTCCTGTCTGTGATTCCTGTTTTTCCTGATGTTTTTCCCAGTGTCTCTCCCGGCCGTGATTCCCGGTGTTTTTCTCAGGCTGTGATTCCTGGTTTTCCCGGTGTCTTTCCCGGTGTTTTCCTGCCATGATTCCCATTTTTCCCAGCCGTGATTCCCGGTGTTTTTCCCGGTGTTTATCCAGTGTCTCTCCTGCTGTTTTCCCGGCCGTGATTCCCATTTTTCCTGGCTGTGATTCCTGTTTTTCCCAGCCATGATTCCTGGTGTTTTTCCTGGTGTCTGTTTTCCCGGTGTTTTCCCAGCTGTGATTCCTGTTTTTCCCGGTGTTTCTTTGCCCGGTGCTTTCCCAGCTGTGATTCCCGTTTTTCCCACTGTCTCTTTTCCCAGTGTTCTCCTGGCTGTGATTCCCATTTTCCCCGGCCATGATTCCTGTTTTTCCCAGTGTTTTTCCTGGTGTTTTTTCTGGCTGTGATTCCCATTTTTCCCGACCGTGATTCTCTGTGTCTCTCCTGGTGTCTCTGTTCCCGGCGTTTTCCGGCTGTGATTCCCGCTGTTTGTCTCTCCCGGTGTCTCCATTCCCGGTGTTCTCCCGCTGTGATTCCCGGTGTTTTTCCCGCCATGATTCCGATTCCCGTTGTTTGTCTCTCCCGGTGTCTCCGTTCCCGGTGTTTTTCCCGCCGTGATTCCCGGTGTTTGTCTCTCCCGGTGTCTCCGTTCCCGGTGTTTTTCCCGCCGTGATTCCCGGTGTTTGTCTCTCCCGGTGTCTCCGTTCCCGGCGTTCTCCCGCCGTGATTCCCGGTGTTGTTCCCGGTGTATCTCTGCCTGGTGTTTTCCCAGCTGTGATTCCCGTTTTTCCCAATGTTTATCCTGGCGTCTCTCCCGGTGTTTTCCTAGCTGTGATTCCCGTTTTTCCTGATGCTTTTCCCGGTGTCCCGGCCATGATTCCCGGTGTTTTTCCCGCTGTGATTCCCGCTGTCCCGGGGTGTGATTCCCAGTGTTTGTCTCTCCCGGTGTCTCCGTTCCTGGCGATTCCCGGTGTTTTTCCCGAGTGTTTTTCCTGCCGTGATTCCCGCTGTCCCGGGCTGTGATTCCCGGTGTTTTTCCCGCTGTGATTCCCGCTGTCCCGGGGTGTGATTCCCAGTGTTTGTCTCTCCCGGTGTCTCCGTTCCTGGCGTTTTCCGGCTGTGATTCCCGGTGTTTTTCCCGCCGTGATTCCCGCTGTCCCGGGCTGTGATTCCCGGTGTTTTTCCCTTTTTCCCGGTGTCTCTGTTCCCGGCGTTTTGCCTCTGTGATTCCCAGTGTTTGTCTCTCCCGGTGTCTCCGTTCCCGGCGTTCTCCCGCCGTGATTCCCGGCGTTTTTCCCGACATGATTCCTGGTGTTTGTCTCTCCCGGTGTCTCCGTTCTCAGCGTTCTCCCGCCATGATTCCTGGTGTTTTTCCCGCTGTGATTCCCGGTGTTTTTCCCGCCATGATTCCCGCTGTCCCGGGCTGTGATTCCCGGTGTTTTTCCCTTTTTCCCGGTGTCTCCGTTCCCAGAGTTTTCCCTCCATGATTCCCGGTGTTTGTCTGTCCCGGTGTCTCCATTCCCGGTGTTTTTCCCACCGTGATTCCCGGTGTTTGTCTCTCCCGGTGTCTCCGTTCCCGGCGTTCTCCTGCCGTGAGTCCCGGTGTTTTTCCCACCGTGATTCCTGGTGTTTTTCCCGCCGTGATTCCCGGTGTTTGTCTCTCCCGGTGTCTCCGTTCCTGGCGTTCTCCCGCCGTGATTCCCGGTGTTTTTCCCGCCGTGATTCCCGGTGTTTGTCTCTCCCGGTGTCTCCGTTCCTGGCGTTTTCCCGCTGTGATTCCCGGTGTTTTTCCCGCCATGATTCCCAGTGTTTTTCCCTCGTGTCTCCATTCCCGGAGTTTTCCCACCATGATTCCCGGTGTTTGTCTCTCCC